AATGTCCTATTTTTTATGACAACGTTTTCGCAAGTAGGTGTATACAGCAATTATCATGATTTGGTCATTGTAAGGTAAAATAGTCAGCAAGACGTGTAAGCGAGAAGTGCGCCAGAAGCTTGTACTGCATCCTCCCGTAAGATGACTTCCCTACGGCCTATTGTTGTCTTTCAGTTCGATCAAACTAAGGAACGTGGATTAAATAAGCTATTACAATAAACTCTTCGTCTAGTTTTAAAGTAATTGATCTTTTAACTTATTTCATATAACTATTTCTACCCTAGTTTGCCAACTGGACTATCCAAATGGTTCACAGGATGACTACGTCGAAGCATTCCCAAATTTTTCTCAAGACTTTGATGAGTTGAGCTTGTCATTTTGGCTTAAAGTTCCCTCATCGTACACGAATAATTTGGCTATCGTCTCGTATAGAACTCAAGATGAGAGTAGAGATATGTCAGTGGTGATAAAAGATAATTCTGAGGTTGAATTCAAAATCAATGGAGGTGGGAAGTAAGTATTGTACTAAATAGACGTCCTTGGAGATATAAGCATATACATACAACGTAGTACACGAAAAATGTTTCTCTCTAATCGCCTAATGCAAACATGTTTTTGAAAAAAGTATGTTAAGTTAATTGATTCTCAATTAAATTCATTATTTCAGAACTCTTAAGTCAAATTTTGTACGGGACAATACCTGGCAGAATATAGCGATCACACTGAAAGATGACGGAAAGGTGAAAATGTATAGAAATGGCCAGAAAATATCTGAAGATACTGGAATGAAACAAGGAAATATTAAAAAAGACGCTCAAGGTAAACTCCAATTGGGTAAAAAATATGACGGAGCCGACCCTACATTCGTTATTCAAGGAAGCCTCGCAGAACTATATATGTGGGATATAGATTTATCTGATGAGGCTGTCAAAAAAATCTTTGGATTCAAATGTGGATCTATGGGGAACTGGAAATCAAACGAACTTATTTTGAGTTGGGATACGATCTTAAACTCCAATGGTTTGAAGGGGCAAGTAAAGAAAACGTGCCCGACAACATGCTCAGGATAAAACACCATAATCCATCCCCACCATGCGACTGTAGTATAAGCTAATTTTTCAGTTCACAATATATAGATAAAACAATGATATTTTGTTCAATATGACCTCACTTAAGGAATTTAGGTCACGTGAATTAATCACGTGAATCACCAAAACATTCATATCAGTCTTATATTGCATCTACTAAATTTCAATTGCTTCCCAACATGTTATAAGTCCGCACGTATGCACCTATTTCAAAAAAACGTTGTCGGGGAGAATGGTGAACGGCGATTGTCGAAAGGAAACCAAATGACCGTATGCTTACGCTGTCTGACTTGATTGAAAATTGAGACTAAATAAATTGTTTGCTATAAACTATCTTAAAGTGCAGATCAGTTGTTACTGCCATTCGCCATTTGATCCGACAACCTTTATTGGAAGAATTGTATATACATGCAAATACCGTTTGTAAGACAAACAGTCACAATGCAATAACTAATAAAAGCAAACTGATACTCCATCACCCCATAAGATCGTAACTTCGTATACACCCTCAATGAAAGGAAGAATCAATTAAAAATCGTGATGCTGGCCACAATTCTTAGAATTGTTTTTGAAAAAGTTTTTTTTTGAAATGATACTAAGCTTTAATTCTATTTGTCTTTGGAAAAGAGAGGTAGTTCTTGCGCTTGATGTGTTGGTCTGAGGTTGAAAGCGAGCCAAGGCAGTTGGCCAAGTACGGCTTTCTGATCCCAGGAGGGGGGGGACTCCCTAATATCAAAGGGCGGGGGTCCTCGGCGGAAATTATGAAAATGACCCCTAAGAGGGACCTGTATTTGGAGATGATGGGCGTGGTAGTGCTGAAATTTCATCCCTAAAAGAGACCAATAATCTCGTCTATTAAGGAGTGTTAAGTGACAAGACGTGAAATTGATTAAAATAATTAAATTAATCATCTAATTAGCAGCTGTGGTTTTTGATCTCATAATGACGGCTTAGGGACGTCATATACCCTAAAAGGGACCACAAAACTCAGTTGGTGGGAATTCTCGTCATTATCACCCTAAGCGGGACCCAAAATACCGATTTCAAACCCTAAAAGGGACTCCGAGGACCCCCGCCCTTTGATATTAGGGAGTCCCCCCCCCCCCCGGGTTTCTGATTCCTTGTTTTTCCGTGTGCTATCTAACATCATGTATGCAATGGTTTTTACATACATTTTTTTCCTATTAATTGCGGTTCATTTGATCATTTTCTTTTATAATACACTCTCATTTTTGATGTATTATAAATTGAGCTCGCTTATTTTTTGTGCCTAAACAAAGAGGAGTACATTTGTATTTTACAAGAAGTATTTTCAACTTTTTACCATTTTTCCTATATTTCAAGTGATCTTTAATTTTGTTACATCCCACAACATGACAAAGAACTAAACAAAAAGTGCCAGTCGTAAAGTTTTCCTGCTCCCAGTCTGACCTTGTAGCTCAGCTAGTAGAGCATTGGTAGTAGAAATCGAGGGTCGAGATTCCAGTGAGGTCGCGGAAATTAATTTTTCCGAATTTATTTCCAATGGTCTTTCTCCCGGAATATTTTTTCATTGGTTGAAAAGCAATTGGGCAAAACGCGAGCAACGACTCAAAAGTCTTTGTCAATATAACGACAGGAAATTCAATAAGGAAGAACTGAAGAATTGAGTAAAGACGTGTGCGTCCCACTTTTTTCATGGTATTCACTGAGAACTACTGGCGTAGGGAGAGATAGGCAACCCACCCCCACCCCCTTTCACAAAGATTCTGTCAAATCTAACGAATGTAACTATGTAAATCTTGTTACGACCCTTCAAAAACACTTCGATGACTCAGTGATTCATAAGATTCCCCTGGCATGACTAATTGATGTTTGTCTTTCGAGATATTTGGACAGTTTATTCTTCAATATGTTTACTTTATTCGTCCATGGACTGGGATTAGATTTTTTCTCAGTGGAAGAGAAGTGAGTGGTATTTTACATACACTTTTTTTTCCTATCAATTGCGCGCTTCTTTTGATCATTTTCTTTTATTAATAATACACTCTCATTTTGGTGTATTAATTTTTGTGCCTAAACATAAAGGAGTAAATTTGTATTTTCCAAGGAGTATTTTCAACTTTTTACCATTTTTTCCTATATTTCAAGTGATGTTACATCCCACAACATTATAAGGAACTATAAACAAAAAGTGCCAGTCGTAAAGTTTTCCTGCTCCAAGGCTGACTTTGTAGCTCAGCTGGTAGAGCATTGGTAGTAGAAATCGATGGTCGAGGGTTCGAATTCCAGCGAGGTCGGAAATTAATTTTTCCGAATTTATTTCCAATGGTCTTTCTCCCGGAATATTTTTTCATTGGTTGAAAAGCAATTGGGCAAAACGCGAGCAACCACTCAAAAGTCTTTGTCAATATAACGACAGAAAATTCAACAAGGAAGAACCGACAATTGAGTAAAGATCTCAAGAATAAGGTAATAAATGCGGGCAAGGAAAGAAAGAGAAAGAGTAAAGAAAGAGAAATAATGAAGTCAATTGGAAACCTACAATTTGGAATAGCATTTGAAGTGAGTTGTTTTTAATATTTTGATTCCCAAAGCAAATAAATATTCCTACTTCCCTGTT